AGCACACTTAAAAGAGGACAATCATGGACTAATGACATGCATACTAAGCTCTGAAATCATGTTATAAAAGGTGCCAAACCAAGTAAACAAGACAAGCTAAGCATGCAACGATGTCCAAAACTCAAGGTAAGCCAAGGGGCTTAAACCATGGCCATGCCAACCAAGCCTCACAAGGCTAAGAGGACTTAGAATAGTCCCAAGGCAGACCTAAACAAAGCTAAGGACACACCTAGATAGCATCTAAGTGGCCTACACATGGAAGCATACAAAAGAGGCCAAACATAGAGCACAAGATTACAACCTTTTAAAGCATTAAAGGAGCATCAAATGCAAGCATACAAGCATACCATGGGGACTGAAATGATGCAGTAAGTGGTTCTAAACCACTGAAACAAAGCAAGTAAAGCATGCTAGAGGGGTCAACACTCAAGGCTCACAAAGGGGATTACATGGTATCTATACAAAGCAAAACATGGATGGCCCAAGCAACCAAAAAAAGACCTCAAGCATGCTAAAACATGCATAAAAGCTTCACAAAGCTAGGCCAAAACAAGTGAGCATGGTAGTCTAAATGCTAGACACATGTTAAGGCAATTCATGGCATTACAAGACAAGTATGCAAAGCAAGCATGGTGTGTCTAAACCAAGTAAAAAAGTGCTATATTATGGCAAAATAAGCACAAATAACACTTAAGACATGGCCAACATGAACTCAAGAATGATGCTCACACATGAGGCAAAAATGACGCATTTTGAAGACAACAAGGAGAGGGGATGGCCCTCTCCTTCTTAGGACCTCAAACCACCATCCTCACCACTGAAATCCCTCAAGATTTCAGTGGTGAGGAGGCCCAAACAAGGTGGTCCCTGAGCTCACCAAAATAGCACAAAATGGGGGCCAAACAAGGCCTAAGAGGGGTCAAACAGCCCTAAAGCTCAAAGCAACCTTAAACAACTATTTGAAGCAAGTAAAGACAAGACTTTTATATGTTATACACGAAGCTCAAAAACAGATGCAAGGTAGGCAAAAAGACTATGCAAAAATGGGGTATTTAAAGGTAAAGTTCTTACCCTTGTAGACCCCTTCAAGAACAACACTCCAGCTGCTTCCCCAAGCTTGAATCCACTCAAGAACTTTAAGAACAACCTATTGGCTCCTCAGCAACCAAGGTAAGGTGTAGAACTAGGTGTTTGTGCGCAAAAGTAAGGACAAACACACACTTATACACACAAGAGAGGGAGATATAGAGATAAAAGAGATACACAACCCCAACCCTAATATCAAAGACCTCTGGAATTTTTGTAACCCTGGAAGAGGGAGGAGAGGCCCTCCCTTTATAGAGGATCACTCTTGCAAAGCTTACAAAACAACCTTAGCAAGAGTGAAATCCCTCTATACATGTGTATGGAGGGGGTGCAAAGTGTATGCCAGCTAGCACAGCTGGCATAAAAATATCTGCAAAAGTAGATGCACAGTGGTCGACCAGCCAAAAATGCCAAATTGACCAAATACATGGTCGACCGACCAAAAATAGTGCCAGCCGGCCATCACCAATGGCCGGTGGCAACAAAATAGTGGCTGGTGGCCTCAAGCCATGGCCAGTGGGGTGTGGGGATGGCCAACAAGCCATTCCCTGCCCCTCAAAAGCAAAACACAAGTGTTTGGTGCAAAATCAAACACAAAACAGTTGAGTCGAGAGATCCTGAGGCAAGGCGCGTGGCTGAGACCTCTGGGAACTCAAGACGAACACAAACCTGGATAATCACCGAGTGTTCAAACGGTGACGCCCAAGTCTTGAGGACGGTCAAAAATGGGGTGTTTACAATGACGTGAGGTGCGAGCGGAGGCCACGGGAGCCTTTCCTGTTCTTCCGCAGATACTTCGATACCATCATCGCAGCAGATATATTTCAAACATTACAGTTCATTTAAGCTTTGCTTTACATTGTATCTTCAATAACAGATAACAAATTGTATATCCTGTCGTTTGCAGATCACCTGGCAGCCCTGTGCGGTGTTGCTGGATACGGTGAGGGACGGATACATGGATGCCCGGGAGACTGCTCGGTTCAGGATTCTACTGGAGGGTTCGATCTGCCGGGCTTGGTATTTCGGGGAGCACTTCCTACGACAAACCCTCAGCTTGCCAGAGCAGATAGTTCTGAGGCCACCTCCTACCCACACGAGGGCTACCGAGAGGTACACTCTGCAGGAGATGATAGATTTCACCATCGGCTGGGACTCTGACTTCTATAGAGACGAGGGCGACTACGCCGAGTTCATACAGACTTATCTGATGTGACCTCTGACCGGTGCTTGTCAAGTTGAGAGGGAAAGGCCTGCAGTGCTAGTAAGAGTAGAAGCACAGAGGGCGACTCAGGCCCGTGGCAGAAGTGAGTCTCGGAGGGGACGGGGAATTGAGTGGCCAGCCCTGCCCACTACCATGACATGCTGAGGACAGGGTGGGAAGACTTATCAGATACCCATTGCTCCACCTTCGGCTGATCATGAGCTCGTCGGAGTTCGCGGCTCGACCCTGGTATGTGTTACACTTTGCATTTTGTACAGTCATTTCATTTCATTTGATATCCTGCAGAATACTGACGACTTAAACACTTTTGCAGGCTTCGATAGAGTATACTGGACAGTCCCTGGAGCTGACGGCCTCAATGATGGGGATGCTGCAGAGGAGCTTGGACCTGCTGACCATCTATGGTATCCCGGTAAGTTCATTCAACCTCAGTCTCAAAACTTAGCACACTCTGTCCCATACTGATCTGATACATCACATTGTCAATACGACACTTGACATACTGCACTCACATACCACCCACGACACTGACACACTGCTCACGGCATTCAGACATTGCTCACGGTATTCATACACTGTATTCATACACTGTATTCATACTTGACTTTGCACGGCATAACTGATGCGCTTGCCAATTGCTCTTTTCAGGCCCCATTCCAGATGTCGGCCACAGGGGGTGCAGCGGTGGGACCATCAGTGCCTTCTAGGGTAGCCGGGGGAGCCAGATGGGGGATGACGATCCACAGTCGAGGCAGACACAGGCGCACCAGTGTTGAGAGCAGTTCACGAGAGCCCACTCCCGATGATAACGAGTCTGATGACGAGGTAGAGTCGTCTCAGGGTGAGGCCAGAGATGGCTCAGATTAGGACTCTGACGATGGAGATCCTAGACCCTTATCCAGGAAGAGGACTCGGATGGACTCTCGCACTTGAGACTACCGGCACCGATCCAGGCATTTTGCTGCTTTTCCCTTTTTTGCTTTACTTTTCTTTTTGCTAGGAGTTTAAGCACATTGTACTACCTTAGGCAGGTTTTGTTTTCTTCAAAACTATGTACTTGAAAACATGATGGAATGAAATAGCTTTTTGTTGAAAAGTGTTGCATTTGTACATTCTGAGCATCGCATCGCATTATATAGCAATGTAAATGAGATTGAACTTTGTTTTGAAAACTAAATGCTCGAATTACATTAATCAGGTAGTGAACCGACTAACAACAAAATAACTCGATAAGCAAAACAAAGACCTTGACATGCTAACCAAATGTAAATACAACTCGATAAGCAAAACAAGGACTAAAGAACACGAAATACAACTCGATAAACAAATTGAAGTAACACAGGCACGACTTCGCAAAATCATCACCGAAAGGCACTTGAAGTGGAACTAGTCACAAGTTCTCAACATATTCAACTCATAGACAGCTCAGAGGACAAGAGGGAAGGCCATCGGCCAAAGGGAGAGGCCATCGGCCACAAGAAATGGCCATCGGCCATCATTACTAGCCGATCGGCCAAAAAAGATGGTCGGTCGACACTCTTTTTGGCCGATTGGCCAAAAATGGTGAGCACCTCCAGAATGCTGACACCTGTCTTGCACTCAACACCTTATCTTCTACAAATGCCCCAGCTTCGTAATTTTCTCCATTTCAGCTCAGTTTTTGCACAGAATAGAGGCTTTTCTTGTTCGAAATCTTACAAATTGGATTGGCAACTTAGACGGCTCGGAAAAGTTGAATTTCTAGGGCTTTGGCATAAATGCACTATTCACGTTGAGTTACACCCTACTGCGTTTTCCGTTCCTTCATGCCGCAGCAAGGTTTTGGAATCCGGTGACACATGTTTTTAGCTTTGGCGGACAAGGGATGTGCCCCACTTTCGAGGACTTCCAAGCTTTAATGGAATCTGAGCGCGATGAAGAAATCTTGCCTCAATTCCACTTCGGTTACGTCCAAGCCTTAGGACGGATGTACGGGCTTACTTTGCATGACGCTCGGTCATTGATTCACGACGGAGAGCTAGACATTCCGAGCTTGATTCGTTAGTTTTCTGATGTCAGTGATCGCGGCGATCATCATTGGCAGGGTTATCAGCGACATGCGCTTTGCTTGTGCATGTTGTCTCATTTCTTGCTCGTCCCAGGCTCCGGTGGGTTTAGCACTCGTTTGATTGAAGTTGCCAAGGGCTTGGAAGAAGGCAAGAGCTGTATCGCTATGACACTAGCCGAAACATTGATGGGTTTGGACGCTTTTCATCACCAGGAGACGACTAGATTCGGGGGGAATCCACTACTATTGCAGGTAATGTTTCCCACCCCATCTCATATATATTTCTCACATCACTCGACCCTCAAGCTCGATTTTTCTCTCAAAACCCTTTTCTCACTTTTCTCTCAACGTACATGTAACGACCCCAAAATCCGTATTAGAGATTACCTTTACGGCCTATTGGGTTAATGCATTTTGATTTATTGATATGTGTTCAAATTGAGGAATTATTTGTTGAGCCACGACTGTAAAATTGAAATTACCGACCTTTACGGGTTCAGAAATCACAATTGAGGACTTGGATGTGTTAATGAAAATTTTTAGAACTATTTGGGAAACATAATTGGAAATCTAATTTGTCTGATTTGTTAATGTGCGTTTGGGTGGTTAACTTTGTACTGCAAATTGAAGGCCTTAGAGGCTTCAGAAACCAGAATAGGGGACATATTTATGATCGTCATAATTTTTAGAGTCATTTGGAAAGTTTAATTGAAATTTAATTTTTCGCGATTCGTAAGGGTGTGTTTGGCCCTTCTTATTTGTGATAAAGCTTGTATAATTAAATATATAGGTGTGTATGAGTTATATAAGTGGTGAACTCATACTTTTGGAGTCAAAAAACAAAATATCTAAAGAGAGAGAGAGGAAACCGTGAAAGGGAGAGAGGGAAGAGTGTCAATTTTCTCAACATCCATGGAGGCTTTGAAGATGATGGAAGAGAATTGAAGGAAAGAAAGAAGATCACCCATGGGACTTGGAGGAATTGAAGAGAGCTAAGAGGTAGACAAAGATTGAGTTAGGTATGAAAATCTATCTTGAAATCTTGTGTTTAAAGTATCAATTTGGTAAAATCATAGAGATCTTGGAAGATTTAAACCCATTTGGGGTTAAGGTTTATCTATGTATTTACTTGAGCTAATTTGAGGAATTAGAAATTGAGTTCTTTAATTTTGTTTATGAGTGGAGCTCAAGCTCATGGATATCATGAAATAAACTTTAGATTATGCAAGAATCATGTAAATTTGTGGGTTGTGGGTTGTGTTTTTAAGAACCTTGAAGATCATGAAAGATTAAGCATTAATCTTGAACTTTGAGACAAAGATTGAATTGTTTGAAATGAAATTACACTTGGTTGATGTTAGTTTATCATGTTATAGGGCAATTCCACATGTTTTTGAGTGATTTATTTTAAGAACCAAGCTTAAAAATGGAAAAAACCAAGTGTTGGAGCAAAAAGAGCCATTTTCGGACTACACACTGCCCAGAGCCGCACGTGCGGCCCTGTTTCCCGCACGTCCGGGAGACAGCCTTGTCCAGCCATCTTTGAATAAGCATATCTTTTGCCTCGGGGCTCCGTTTTGAGTGATTCGTGAGCCTAAAATCAAGCCCCGGAAGTCTAGTTTCCAATGGAAGTGGTATCACTCCCAAATTCTAAATACAAAAATAGTTATATCCAAATTAGTGACGACTGTTCACTTTCTGTCAACTAATTTTATACCATTTCTTCACCTAAACCATTTTCCATTGATTTCTCCTGTTTCTGTGACATGGAATATAACTTATTAAGAAATAATGAGCTTGGTACCACAATGACTAATTGATTGAACAATCAAAGAGAATAAGTAAAGGATCGAGTATAATCTCATATTATGTGTTGTGCACTGTACTTGTAGGTCAAGACGAGGACATCGTTCCACCGCTATCAGAGACCTACCACTGTGAGTAATAGTACTGTAGTTGTACATTTACCTTCCGTTAGTAATTCTTATTATTAAAGCTCTATTCTTCGCAAATTAATTACGTTAACTGTTATGAATGATTGGGAACTGTTAACGCAACTGTCTTTGACATTTAATGTTGTTAGGGATCGTTGAGAACATTGAAAATATTTGCACTCGGGTAGACGCTGAAACACTACTCTACATTGGTTATGTTAATGGTTATCTTAATGTATAATAACCTTAAATTACCTATAATACCGACAAATTATTATAATATTATGCAACTGTGGCAAGAAGGATTTGATTAAACCGTTAATGGGAAATATGATTTTGAACGTCTATCCTGCTCCTACAGCCTTATTTAGTTCGATACATGATTTATGACATAACTACTGCCATAAAGGATTAACGAAATGAAAATCGAACAGAACATGGTTTCTTATACTTGTCAAAAATTGAATATCAAATAACATTTTATAGATCAGTTTATGGTGCGAATTGTTCATATCCCCATGAATAGTATGTAAGCACGTGTGTTTTCTGTAAATAATTATTATAATTACTGTTATATGTAAGATGACTATGGCACATGTGAATGAATCATAAAGGAAATTTATGTGCACATTTGACGGTATTTGTATGAAACCTGGATTATATGTTATGTTATGTCATTCGTTATGCTATGACATAATTAGAATTGTTCATCTTCAAGAACTATGATTCTAGTACGACAACTAGTGCTGGCAATGTCGACCACCTCTTGAGCCATAATACAAGAACTGGCTTAAGCCACATTTGTCCTTTATGTCACCGGTATGTGAAATTATGAAAAGATAATAATTTGTGAAAATGAAGGAACAACTTTGAACTTATGAAAATGATAATTTGTGATGATATGAAGGAATAACTTGTGAACATTATGTAAGGTATAATTTGTGAATATGAAGTATTATTGTGAACTTATTGAGGCCGAGGGCCACGTTTGTAATTTGTAGAACTTATGAGGCCGAGGCCACTTTGTGATTTGTGAACTTATGAGGCCGAGGGCACTTTGTGAATTATGTAACTTATGGCCGAGGCCAACTTGTGAATTCTGAAATTATGAGGCAGGAATTTGAAGTATGAATCTGTAATTGTAAACTATTGAACTATAAGGCCGAGGGCCATTTTGAAGTATGACTCTAAGTTATAGCCATAGGGCTAATTGTTGATGTGTGAACCATCAGGCAAGGCAACTATGAAGTTATGAAGACAAGACTGTTCTGAATTGTACAGAATCAGCACTACCACAGGATTTTGCATTTACTTATTAATTAGAGAAATAAGTGTACAATGTAATAAATTAAGTATCTTTTAATGTTTATGTACTACTGTTCATGAGCTTGACTCACATTGTCTTTCATGTCTGGTTCTTAATAGCACTACCCACTGGAGGTCAGTTTAACCCATGGCAATCCGTGCTCTATTTTGTCAACCCTCAGAGTATCCAGGCAACTTAAGCTGAAGAGACAGCCTATATTGCTAACTTTGATTTTTACACTCTGATTGTTTTGCATTAAGTGTGATGATATTTAATTCTTTGCCTGTCATGTTGTTTTTACGCCAACTCTAAGGCTGGTCTGTATATATATATGTTACATATGCTAACTTCTTGTGCAGCGTCACTAGTGATGTTTATTTGCCTTATGTTCTTCTGTATCCTGGAAATGATGAGTGGTTACTCATGGATGTAGTTCTTTTATTTAACGTTTAATTCATAAATTGGTAATGCTTCTTCACCCAGGCAATAGATATGTATACCAGTTATGCGTCGTTTCATGTGTAGAGTCTAATCCAAACTTTTAGGGGAAGTTTGGGGCGTGATAGTAACACTCTCTATTTTATCTAATCTTCTTTATTTCATCCCTCCAGGTATGGTTATACCCGATTATTCAGCTCGATGCTATTATCTTCCAGCAGATGTCTAGTCGCATGCCGCTGATGAGGAATGGTGGTGTGATTGATGTGTAGTTTTGTCCACAGACCACATATGCGTGGCGCTACCCTTGTCAACTCTACCGAATGAGTACAGCATGACTCCCAGCCCGGATCAGTTGTAGGCTTGACACACTGCGTCCTATTTTCCATTCGATTCTGGCGTCAATTTGAATGATCAGACCTCGCCGGAGGAAGGGAAAATTAACCGCTGACATTTGCGGTCCGAGCGCCACAGCTAGCCGGTAGCCACAGCATGGAGGACGAGAGAGCTTTTGGCCCCCACTTCCACTTCATTGCACCTCTCTGATGAGGCATACTTGCTGATGAGGAGACAGATCGGCCCACTTTGGATCAGAGGCTTTCACAACTTTGGGAGGAGACGCAGTAACACCGACTATCCCCTGAATTTATTTGCTTTAATCAGTCTTTCAAGTTTTCTTTTTGAATGTAATTAAAAGCATTCATTTTTGTTTCAAGAGTAGGCAGAACTGCTTACTGAAATCAACGATTGAGGTTGTGGGTACATGAAAATTTTTCTAGTTGAGTCCAAAAATGTCTATGTTGTAAAAGATTAATTTTGAGCAAAATAAACCTTTTATTAAAACTTTTCAAAACATTTTCGATATGGATCAGAGACTGACACGCCTGAGATCTTCACTGAGATGTAAACACCCGGATCCACAACTGAAAGTTGCCCCTGTCTGAAAGCACTGCACTGGAATCACAACCGAGCTTTGAATGCAGAATAGACAAAGATGACCAAGATATCACATGGACAAAGTTGATTGGGAGTAGTGTTAGCTGGACTTTCAGATTAAGTTGCCTACGTCTCCCAAAGTGGAATCAAGCTTACATAGTTTAGCTTGGGTTCACTATGTATTAACACTCTCCTTTGCGCACTAATGTTTTGCCAAGCACACCTTTGCGGTTTCAACCTTTGCGAGCTCAGTTTTTATAATTTTCAAATTTTTTCATGCTCTAACTTTGCCTAGGTGCCTTTCGGTCTTTCGCCTCAGACGGCACCAGGAATATTGCTTCAACTTCCATATTGATCGCTGGGAGACTCAGTGCGCATCTTAGGTCATATCAGAACACAGCTTCACCCGACCAGATAACTTGACTATTAAGGGACCAGTCCAATTGGCTGAATCCCAGGTCATGGATGAGCTGGTTGTCTTTGAGCACAGATCCCTTCTTTTGTAAATTCCTAAGCTTAACCTTTTGTTAAAGCCTGCAAACAGCATGAGTTCTCGAACCTCTTTGCTACCAATGCTGCCTTAGTATTTGCAGTACTGAGCCAATACTCGTAATGGAACCTCAATTTGATAGGCAAAAACAGCCTTCTCTCCATAAACCAAGAAGGATAGGAGTTGCATCTAGTAGAAGTTCGAATTAATCGGTAGCCACAAAGCAATGCAAACTGTATCTGGCCAGTCCCGTTAGGTTAATCCACCATCTTCGCAGAATGGCTTGATGTTCTTGTTGCGGCCTATACTGCTCGTTGTGGCGAGATATGTAGAACGACTATGAAAAGTCACGTTGACTTATCAACAGAGTCATCACTCCTTTGAAGTGGGAACCATTATCGAAAGATCTCATTCGGGACCTCGTAGCGGACAGATGATGTTGTTTTGTGAACTTGCAATGTGCATGCTTCAACACCGCATAAGATTTGCCTCAACCTATTTGTAAAATGTCATCACAACCACGAATGAAACTCAATGCCATTGGATCCCTTTGTAGTACAGCCCCAATCACAATCCAATTCCCTTAGACTGAGAATGGATGCGAAGCATGTTTGTACACTTCCACGGTGAATATTCATGCATGTTTGCATGGATCTGACATTTGTGGCTCGCCGGACCAAAACAATACAATCTCTTCATGGGACCAGTAATAACCTTTCTAAGATTTTCCGGCTAGCTCACCCGTTCATGTGCCTCTGCATCTCTCATGGATGGCCTCCATCAGGGCTTCGATTCTTCAGCATAACACACAGCTTAGCATTTCCGATGATGGCTCTCTTCGTACAGTTTACCCCCACAGACGATAATAGTACCATTTGAATTTCTCTTATCTTTTGGCTTTGCCCGGTGGATCAGCTTCCTTGTCCAAGAAATCAGAACGTTAAATACAGGGGTTCTCATCTTGAACCTCAATCTATGCAGCAATTAGCTCGTTAGACGCAAAATTTCTGTTCGATTTGATGGACGCATCCGCTGTCTTAAAAAGGTGATGTCTATCATAGAAGATAAAATGCTCAATGAATCTGCGAACCTGTTTCTCTCTTATAAGAGATGAGCAAAATCAGTTTTCAAAGGATGAGGATATTAAAGCACGTCAAGGTCTGTGATAGATTTCTATCTTTTTTTCCTTTAACTTCTCAATTCCTTAGCTGAGATACAATAGGTTCGAGTCTCGATGACATCCAACCGTTTGGCCTAGTTTAGGCTTGTTCAATCAGTTCATAACATGCCATATTCGCCTTCATTGTCGATACTTTGAACCGGAGTATTATAATGCTAAAGGTATAGAAATTGTCGAGTGCTTCAGCACACCCATCCCATACTATTATTCGTTTGACTCTCCGTCAAAGTAATCAGTCTAAGGTCTCTCTTCGACATACAGAATGCCTCATTGGAACAGTACTAAACTTTTCATCCCCTTCAACTGTGGTGATCAGCTTTAGGAACTCTCTCGCTTCCTTTTACTGATTACTACGGTACATACTTAAGATCAAAATGGAAAGCGAAAGCAACCACGAACTAGCTACCTGAAAGCCGGTTTCTAAAGATATTTATGAAGATTAATCTCAAATAGTATTACGGAAGTGAACTAACAGGTAGTGCCGCAGCTTCCTATACCCATACCAAGGCAGACAAGCTTCTCCCAGGAGTGTAGGGTCTCGTAATTCCAGCATTTTTCTTCAGTCGTAAAAATAAGCTTCCCCCTCCAACCCTTGGTCCCCTCAAAACGAACTTTTTTTGTGCAAGGATACAGCATTGTAGTTTCGTCCGACTGAAAGGTAATAGAATCAAGTTCCCGTCAGGGATGACAACACAGGTGGGTTTGTAAACATTGCTTATCTGTTCAAAGTACTTCGGCATCGGCCGTCCATTGGAATTTCTTTTCCTTTCTTCAGGAGACCAAGAGTGGATTCAACAATAAAGGTTAATTTAGCAATAAACCGTCTTATGAGATTGACATTTACAAAAACCTCGCACTCCTTTTCACAGCCTCGGTTTGCATTTTAAATGCTTGATTTGAAGGGTCGACTTCGATACCTTTTGTGTGAGTCAAAACCCAGCATTTTCCCCAATGTAAACAAAATGTAATCTAAGGATTCACCGCACCGATATTAGGCCTGATCTGTTGAAAGAATTTCTGCAAGCGGGTAGTGCTCTCTTTCCTTGGACTTGAAATCATGTCGTCTACGTACACTCAACTCTTTGTATATGTCGTGCAAAAATTGGTGGTGCAGCCCGTTATATGTAGCACCCGTGTTCTTCTTCACAAACGCATCGACCCCTATATAATTAGGTCCCTCCACGGGTGGTAAAGAGAGTCTTCTCCCAAATCGTTCGAGTGCCATCAATATCGTTGATTGTACCAGAAAAGCCTCCATGAATGAGACATGCTGCCTGCAGTGAAGTTCCACTATTCGTTGATATGGCGTAGAGAAAAGTCGCCTTTCGACTTGTTTTAATTTAAAGCCCTGAATCGCACGCTACAAATTCTGCCAGCCATTCTTCGGCACGGAAACTATATTGGGCCAACAAGTTGGTGTATTCAGTTACCAGAGGAACCCTGAGTCATTTCTGTGTGACCTCTTTTTTGATCTTAT